AATTCTTCCTCGCGCTTGCGCGCAATTTCATTGTTCGTCACACCTCTGGAATTCTCCCGCTTTTTAATCTTTTTCTTCTTTCGTTATTTGTATTGTGTGGGATGTTCCCAGCGGATCATGTAAGAGACGCCCTTTCGAAAGAGCCGAGAAAACAAAAGCAGTTCTGACCCGAAGGTAATTTTCGGTCGCGGCCGGAAGGTGCTGCTGTGACCCCCTCGCGCTGGAAGAAAGGAGCATCGTGACGGAACGAAAGCTGAAAGGTGCGCAGTGAAGCCACTGAGGGTGTGTTCCGAAATGATCTTGCTTCAGGCTAAGGGTACCTTGGCGTTTGAAAACCGATACCCGCGTCCAGCCAACACCACCTGGACAGAAGGTTTCCACACGCGTCATCATAGTCAAATCGATCGAGGCGAAAGATTGGGCACGAGTGCTGCGTCAGTGTTCGGCTGCGGCTCGTGGCCAATCAGCGCGTCGAAGGTCGGGCTCGGGTCCAATAGCCGACCGAGCGCGATCCGACTGTGATGACGTTTCATAGAAGAAGAGAAAACCATGCGGAGGCCTTCTGTTTAGGTGGTGTTGGTCCAGCGTTCCTGCGTTTTCACGTGACACGACCCGCCGGTTGGTACCTCGGATCTATGTGGGTGAGATTTGGCGGGTTCGCGGCGGAGGTCGGCAGGGATCGCGGGATCAGTGAAAGCCTGGGCTCCCATCGATAAAGCGATAAAGGTTCTGGCTTCGCAAACACGTTATTTTCAATAATAAAATTATTGTTGTTGTTGTTTACGAATGGCGTATACATGTTTAGCTATACGAGTCTATGGTCTTGCACACGGACAGATCCGCAGTGGTGGTGGTCATATATGGTTATTAGTGCTCATTTGGGGCGCCAACTCAAGTGACTGAAGCTTTAAATGTTCGTCAACAAACCTGTTTGAGCGAGGTCCGCGTAACCGCATTGTCAAAACGCCGCTAACCATCCGCGCTTCTTTTTTTTTTTCTCGATTCATAAGTAAACATGGGAAGTGCGCCTTCGTCGCTAGGATGGGATGGATGGATGTTAATGGCTTTACCCTTTGTAACGGGCGGTAGCTTGCGCCACCTAGCCTAAGTCTAAAAAGACAAAAACATGATTCCTCCTGCCCTTTTAAGACCAATTTTCTCCCCCTAACTATCACCAGGCAGTATGGGATATCACCAGGATGACCTTCGGGGGATCGGGCAAAAAAAACAACAGAAAAACATCACCCCCCTGCCTCTTCCCCCCGGCGAGGGAGTCGCCAATTTTCCTCTGGTCAAACCTTGTTGGCGTTACCCCAGCACCGGACCCACTGGGAGACAGGGTTGAGACTTTGAGCCGGAGCCAGGCGGAAGGGAGTCCCAATTTTCCTCTGTCCCGCCTGTCCCCAGCTGTGCTAGTTAGCTGTCCATCATTTCATTTTCCTTAGATAATTTCCACCAATCTTCTAATCGCCTCTTTGTCACTGTTATCCATTTCTCATCCGTCCTTCCATTGTCGTCAGTAAAATCCAGGGCTCGGCCAAATCCGTTACCCCTTCAGGGAGAGCTGCAGGGCGAAGCCCCGTGCACTTCAAAACCAAGTGCTCTAGTGTCTCGCTATCATTATGGCAGGCGGCACATAATGTGTCTGTCTGCTAAAATTTAGCCCTGTACGTCCTCGTCCTCAAAACTCCCATTCTCGCCTCGAACAGCAAAGCACTTCCCAGTGAATTGTCAAACACTTTTTCCTTTCTTATGTCCTGCTTTCGTGACCTGTACACTGTTAAAGCTGATTTCTCCTGCATTCTACCCTCCCATATTTTCCTCTCTGCCTCTTTCACCCCCTTCTTCACTGAAGTAGTCTGTTCAGCCCCATCACCAGTGTATATAGGTATTTAAATGTAAGATTTCGGGTTCAATTTGTCCATTTTGTGTTTAACCTTTTCATCTGTAAATACTGGAATACCTTCCGTGCCCACCGCGTATCATCCATTTCGGTCCAACCTTTGCTCAAATTTCAACCTAATAACTGACTTCCTGCTCTCAAAAGACGATCATTCCATGTCCCCCTGTACTCCCTAATTTAGAGTCTTTCCGTGTTCCCCCAGTTCCAATCTGTTTACGCTTCTTTGTCGAATTTCTAATCCTGATTGAACCTCTGATTTCATGCTTAGCACTGCATTGCCAAAAGACAGCCCTGGCACCATCACTCCTTTCCATATACCTCTGACCACTTCATATCTATAGTTCCATGGTGCCTTGAGCTTCATAATACATTAATTTCTTTTCCCTCTTCTAATTATATTCTCCTCGTGTTCCTCTAGATATTTCCTTCCCTCCTTGAGCCACACTCCCGGATATTTGTATTTTCCTACATGGTCTATTCAATGTCTTGTATCCTCAGGGGTTCCCTCTTTTCATCGTTAAACACCATTCCCTATTGAAAATTCTCATTTGTATGAGAAATTTCTGTGTCCAATAAACACATATAAATCATACAAGATATATGAGAACATATAAGAACCATATAAGAACTATACGGGTTATATAAGAACATGGAAGCACCATATAAGAAACTTGTGAGGAGTTTCTTATAGGTTTCTTATATTGTTCTTATATACCTTATATAGTTCTTATACAGTTCTTTATGGTTCTTTTATGTTCTTATATATCTTGTATGATTCATATGTGTTCATTGGACACAAGACATTTCTCATACAAATGACTTTTTTCACTAGGGTTGCTTCAGACTTGTCACTACTAAAACTCATGCCCAAGGTGTCCTTCCTCTCCACATATTCCATATAGGCACGTGCATCGATTGTCGACGTCGTGCGGCTTGTTTTCTTGCCTTGGGGAGGGGAAGTGCCTCAATCAGAAACCAACAATAACAACCGTCACGGCGAAGTGCATCCTTAGGACGCGACGCCACCGGAAGAAGAAGCACGCGCGAGGTTTTCGGCGAAGATGGCCGACTAATTTCCGATGCACTCGACTATCGACGCCATCGTTCAAACCCAAACGCCCAAGGAGGCCGATAAAGCGAATTGCTCTCTCCGCGGAGTGGATCGCGAGCGAGCGCTCTGGGTGAGATTCCGGTCAAGGGGTTTTCAAGCCGGGACCTTTTACTGTGATAGCTGCTTATGGGGGGGCTACTCGAAGTGGTGTATCCGTCGCCGATATAGTGAAAAGCTCGAAAAAGGAAATCCCCCAAACCCGTCGCGCGCCGCTTAATAAACCGCGCGTGTTTCCGTTAGATGGCTACAGGCGCTGTGACGTCGTATCACTCCTTGTCAGTGTCACTTTCCGAGCAGATATAAGGTTCTGTCCCCGTAAAGTGCAAGATACGTCAGGATACATTATAAGAGTCCGGTATGGTGTCACAGCCATCGTTGTGACTGTACTGTCGATTATTCACGCGGGACTGCTCTTTTATTATTATTACTTGTTTCTGGAATGTTGAGAGATCTCTCGAAGAGTGCGGCGCCGTCGTACACTCTGCGTTGGCCCTTAAACCTAAGTGATGCTTTTATATGCGATTCGGATTCCGCCGTTCTAGAGGCCTATCGAGATGGAGCTGCATCTTGAGGGCTTTTGCGGCTGCTATTACGGGCCACTTCCGGTCTGCGAGCGTCGCTTATGGTTAGCGCATTTCCGGTCGCTGGACACAATTGAAAGAAAGGAGGTATACTGTCGCCCGCAATATTCAGTGGAACGGATGAAAAGCATGGTAAAGCCTTTCTTGTGTTGCAACAGCTGACCGTATTTGTGGTGTCCCTAAACATATGTTAGAGTGCAGCTTAAAGGCTACACGGAGTATTTTTACATCTTTAAGGGTGTAAAATTGGTGTTTTGCAGCCTTAATTATTTTTACACAGTTAATGTTTTTACACCTTTCATGTTAAATGGGTAAAAACCCATTTAACACCTTTATTTTGAGTAATACACAATTTTTAATCGTGAATTATGGTGGTGTTTCATGGAACAGCCTTTATTTTGGAAGGTGTGGAAAAGCTCTGGAAAAGAGTGCTGCAGTGCCCTTGTCAACACCATCCAAGCTCCCGTTTGAAACAGTTTCAGCGGGGATTGTTTTGGCGACTAGGTGAAATAACTACTTGGCAGATACATTCCTTGAACTTAGATAAATCTTTAACGTGAAATCTAAACGAGAACAAATCCCTTCGTAACGGCGTTCACTTGCAAATGTCTTTCAGTTGTCTGTAACCAGGCGGTGGAGCAGTCAGCAGCGTTGTCATTCCGGTCTCGTGCGTGCATTAGTAGAGTTTTAGTAGATCGTTCCCATGACTCCGATAACGGTACCCGATACTCCGCCACCGGCTCCCTTGCGCATGCATAGTATCGTTATCAGGGCTATCGGGGGTATCGGAACGATCTACTAAAACTCTCTATTGCGTCTCCGCTCAGTGACCAGTGCCCAATGCGTCGTGACGCATTGGGCACTGGAGCTTTGTCCTTGTGGGCGCTTCCTGAAAAAACAAAATGACGGTACCTTGCCATGTTCTGCAAATGAACTGCGACAACAGCTAGCTGCACTCTGCTGCACACAGCCATATTCCCACTAAATATAGCAGATTTTCTTTTTCCCTGCTGAATATAGCGGGAAATCATCTTCGCTAGATATGGCTGATATTTTTGTTTCCGCTGGGCATTAGTGTCACATGACATTATGACGTCAAAGTGTCACGTGACGCTGACACCATCCGTCATGACGTCCCGTGCCACGACGTCCCTATACAAAACTCACTGCCAATAACGGCCGTAAAAAAAAAAATGGGAAAAAAAACCGCTGAAGGATATTTTTTTCTTTTCGTGACGAAAATAATGCCACTTTCGTAGACTGCCGTAATTACTCTAATCCTCTCCGGGAATTCGGACGCTGAGAGCAGACAATACTATTGATACTTCCATTTGTTTCTAACGAATCACTCAAGATGGCCGCCGTTGCTAATTCCCGCCGTGGTTGTCGCTGCGTTCGCTTGCAGGCAAGATGTACGCGGTGCTGGGGCGGCGCCACGGCCGCGTGCTGGGCGGAGACCTCCGCGAGGGTTCGCAGACCTTCGAGGTGACGGCGGTGCTGCCCGTCGTGGAGAGCTTCCACTTCGCCAACGAGATCCGCAAGCAGACGTCGGGACTTGCCAACCCGCAGCTCGTCTTCAGCCACTGGGAGGTGGGTGGACGGGCCAGGCGGGTTTCAGATCCGTTCAAGGCCTTTGAATTGGGCGGCGGCTTCCGCCACCTAGCGGCTAGGAGAAAGCGCGCGATACCTGGTGGACGGCCTTCAAACTACCGCGAAAATAGTAATTCATATACTCAAATCCCCTATTAGGGAGTTTTAGTGGATATCTCGGATAACGATACCCGATGACGAAACGATTACTAGAATGGAAAGTTGGGCAAATTGGTATGAATTCATTTCGAAAAACAGCGCGAATACCACACGGACAAGAAGGAGCCTCGTCCTGTGTGTTCCTCCTCCTTGTCCGTGTGGTATTCGCGCTGTTTTTCAAAATGAAGACGAAACGATGAATGCCCAAAGGTATCGACGCAGTATCTGGTTTCATGGGAACAAATGTCTAAGCCGAAATGCAATTTTATATATATAAGAGTGACACAAAAAAAAAAATTTAGTTTTTTTTTTTTTTTTTTTTTTTCCCGCAAAAATTATCTTGGCATCGCCGAACGCTCTTTCTCTACTCAAAAGTAGCGATAGAGGTCACAACCAGATGCCAAAGTTTCAGCCGGATCCGATACCTTATTCAAAAGTTATAAGGGATTTTCTGAAAATTTCAATGGGAAAATGGAGCCCATTTTTGCCCGTTTACGGTTTCTGGTGCCCATAGAGCCCCGTGTATTCGAAAACTCCGTCGGCCGTCATTTTCCCATTGAATTTTTTAGAAAATCACTTATAACTTTTTATTAAGTTATCGGACCGGGCTTAGGCATCTGGTTGTGACCTCTAGCGCTACCTTTGGGCGGCGAATGAGCGTGTGGCGATGTCTAGTTTATTTTTCTGGTAAAAAGAAAAACTATTTTTTTTTTTTACACCCTTATGTATAAGAATTGCGTCACAGTCGAGTTGAGTGAACTTCAACAAAGAAAAAAGACAATATTGGTCGACCCTAATGTTTGGAGAAATAGGAGGGCAGGAATACAAATATATATTTCACAGCATCTGTAATACCCTATGGATGTCATCTTAGGTCAGGGCACAGTCAAAGGGGTCCATATCACATGAGCGAATGACGTTTTAGCGAATTGACGTCCCCCCCCCCCCCCCCCCCCCCTGCGCTGCGCTTACGCCGCTCCGCGGTGGCAATCTGCGGCGGCTCATTACAAAAATGTTAACCCACATGGCCCACCGGTAAACGCCGCTTCGCGGCGGCAGACTATTCGCTAAAGTGTTATTCGGAGAAACGTGGGCGTTCACTAAAACGTCATTCGATCAAGTGAGTGCCTCCCCTTGGGACCGGCTGCGCAGCAATGCAGCCGATCGTAAGCCGCCCCAAGAGGCTTAGAAACCGGTCTTGTCTCAGTCGACCGAGGTCAAACCCAAGTGTGTGAACGGGCCTTTAAAAAACATATACTTTTTTTTACGGTTTCGATGAAAAAGGAATTTTAGAAAATCAATTTACAAAGAAAAAAATCCGCTATATTTACGGCGCGAAACGAATTCATAGTTGGCGCGCGCGGGAGCCCGCCGGAAAAGTTACAACTAGCGGTCACGTGACTGGCCACTAGCCACGTGGTGCTTGCGCTCTTTCGGGAGCTTCCTACGGACTCTAAAAACAACTTATAAATCTTCGTTCTTTTTTATTTTTTTATTATTGCAGTTCTTTTTTTAACAAAATATTTTGATGTTTGAGAAACAACAAGTATACAAAAATTGTCACTTCCGTTTTGAACGATACGATAACTAACAAAAGCCTCGCCATTTTTTGTTCGAAGGGGCAGGGTGTCACACGTTTTAGTTTCTAACACGTCGGCTCCCCCAAAGCGACGCCGCTACTCGACGATCACAAGGACTGCGGCCCTTTGTCGAGCAACGCCATCGCTTTGGGAGAACCGAAATGTTAGAACCTAAACCATATGACACCGTGCCCCTTCGAACAAAAAATAGCGAAGCCTTTGTTATCGTATGAGTCAAAACGGAAGATTTTCTTATACTCGTTGTTTCTCAAACATCAAAATGTTTTGTTAAAAGTGCCACAAAAAACAAAAACAAAGATTAACAAGTTACTTTTGGAGCCCATAGGAGACTCCCAAAAGAGCGCAAGCACCACGTGACTACCGGGAGGCACTCACTTGATCGAATGACGTTTTAGCGAACGCCCACGTTTGACCGAATGACACTTTAGCGAATAGTCGGACGCCGGGAAGCGGCGTTTTCGGGTGGGCAAAATGGGTTCACATTTTTGTAATGAGCCGCCGCAGACTGTCGCCGCGAACCGGCGAAAGCGCAGCGCGGCGGATGGGTTAACGCGCACCTCCGTTATTCGCTAAAACGTCGATTCGCTCAAATGTCGCTGTTCGCTAAAACGTCATTCGCTCATGTAATATGGACCCGCTACATGCCCCCATGCCGCAACTATAAAGGACCGTGACACTTGGGCCGCTTTCGTCAACCTACACTGCCTCTCACCAGCGTGCGTGCGTCGAGTTTCACCGCGTTGCACCGCAGTGCTAGGGTGCAGCGGTTGACACGGGGGAGTGCCTGGGCTAACCCCCAGCGTTGCCCAGGAGCAACATCTCAAGAATTATTTATTTTCTACCTCGCCTTTTGCGCCTCAATGAATGTAGTGCCCTCTGTCGCAAGTCTTCGAAACAGATCACGCGTCCTTCAAAACGAAAGCCGACAGTGATTGTGAGGTATGATGGCGTGCACCACTGGCCTCAAAACTGTGAGAAGAAGGTGCGACGCAAATATTACAAATTCGGTTAGAGCTTTCTCTACTGTGCGAAATATGAAATGCGCCCGGCCTTGTCCCATGTCGTAATTGCTTTCATTCGTTCGACGTGTAGTAGTGCCACAAATGCCTAATGTTGCTCACAAGCAACATTTCAAACCTGCTTACGAAAAAAAATGTTTTTTTTTTTTTTCTGTGACCAGATTTTTGTTATTTTGTTTGATCTAAAACCATGTCAGGGTTTGTAGGTCTCTAGTATTTCAAGTAAAGTTTTGGCCATCAAAGGGCTAAAGAGCAATGAAGTGAAGGCTTTCATTTTGCTTCTGGCTAGTTGCATGTTTTTTGCAGTTTCTATTAAAGATTTATTTTGGTAAATTTATAAAAGAAAAGTTGGGGTATGCACCTTTATTGGTAGATGTGTCGGCGGATATGCTGGTTTTTGTTGGGATTTTACAGAAATTATCGCTACAGGCTAAATAAACTGCCAGGTGTAGAAATGGAAGGGGAGAGAGGCTCTATCCTAACTGAAGTGTTGCACTTTGATTTACTTTTCATCAGTTTGTTTAGTACCCATTGTATATAGAGCCCACTCTGACCAAAACTTTATTTCTTAGAAGAAAGCTCTGTGTTTCTTTTGCATCTAAGCCTCACTCGTCATCAAAGATGAACTCGTTTAGCGATGCAATCTCTTTTTTATTATTATTTTCAAGTAATGTGCTAACAGATATCATCTGTTCCAAAAGCGTCAGTGGCTACTCCAAACCAATATTTTGTCCGCTAAAAAACCTGTTCCAAAAGGTCAAATGCCGCTTCCATCACTGGTATCGTTATCAGAGTTATTGGAACGATCCACTCAAACTCCTTAGATCCTTCCGATGACTCTGATAACGATACTCCGACACCTTTGCGCATGCGTCGTATTGTTATTGGGTATCGTTATCGCAGGTATCGGAACGATCCACTAAAACTTTCTATTGTCTCTATGGGTTTTCCTTCCTCACCGGCACAGTGACAAACGGCGCTGTTCCGACAGGAAATTGTCTGGAAAATGTTCCAAAAGCCAACTAATTAAGTTGTGGAGAATGACGGATGAAAGAAATGCGTCGAGAAACTGACGGAGAAGAACGTCGGAACGCTGAGCTCTGATTGGAATAATTAGTACCGCACTTGTCAAACGCGTTCGAACACGAGAGCCCAATGCTAAACCCCTACATTCCGCGTTTTTACATGTTTGACGAGTGCAGTGTAGACAAAGCCCAGCTAACCTTGGCACAATTGCTTCAAGTGCAAAATTACTGTCGCAAAAGCCCCGTGTCATTAGCCGCGTCTCGAAAACCCCGTGCTCAGTGACCCCGTTTCACATTACCGGCGTGCCAAAAGCCCCGTCCTCACCCGTCCCACATTCCTTTTGTGCGCTTTGACCGGCGTTGCTTGTTACAGTGGGGGATGGTCACTACATTGTGCGTGTATCACTGGGGCACTTGTTAACCCAACCGGCCCACCTGTTCACGCCGCTTTGAGGCGAGTCTGCGGCGGCTCATTACAAAAATGTCAACCCACCTGGGCCACCCGTACACGGCGGCTGTTGGTAGGAGTTGAGTTATGGGCAGCTTAAACTGGGGCTTTTGAAAACGGGGCAAAAAGAGCAGGGCATTTGACACGGGGCTTTTGACATTGGGTGCTTTCGTGCACCGCCCAACACAAAGGCTGCCTTTGCCTCCACTGCACTCGTCAAACGCGTTCGAATGCCAAGGCCAAACGCCGGCGTTCCGCGTTGTAACGCGTTTGATAAATGCAGTGAAAACCAAAGCAGCTAGCTTTAGGTTTACCCTCTAATCACTCCAACCAGAGCTCGGCATTCTGACGTCCCCATGCGCTCTCGTCTCCTCTGTTTCTCGGCGCTTGCGTCAAACGACGCAGCGTAGTGCCACATTGCCCAAGATGACATTAGGTGGCGCAAGTCACCATCCAAACAAATGAATCAGGTTTGGTCCTACTCTGGTAAGATTTGGTCCTGACCTGGTTTCGTGCAGTCTGTTCTGGAGCAGGCTATTAGCGCTGTTAAGTGCGCTTCTCCCAGTGCCCTGGTGTACCGCAGAGAAGACGCACCCGTGGGGGGACATTGGGACCTGTGTGTCTCGCTTCGCTGCAGTGCAGCAGCGTGCGTATGGAAAGAGAACTCCTTCAAAGTGGATGGTGTACGTGCACACGTAGGTTGGATTAAACAAAAAATTGATGCAACAACTCTAGTTTGCAGTAATGTTTACAGAATTTAACTGGCACATTATGATGTCAATATTTGTTGGGCTACAGTAGTACGAGATGTTGCATCATGAATTCTATATTGTTTGTTAAAATTTACAAATTTGGAATAACAAGAGTCATAAATCTCGACTAAGTGCAGCTGGAATGCGTCGCAAGTTTAGCCAAGCTATATTTGGATGCCAGTCTGGCAACACCGATCCCCAATGCATTTGCAGCGCAAGTGGGTGGTATGGTGCAAGCCCCTGCTAGTTGCCTAACCATGCAGGCATGCCAGTCTGTGCTGCTTTTCCTTTCTTTTTCACTCACTTTTGTTGTCTTTTTCATAAATGCTTCCACTCAAAGCGAAGCGCTCACTAGGGTATGAGTCAAACGGTCCGTGATCATAGGCTATCAACACAGAACCCCAAGCATCTGTCGCCGTGCCGAGGTGTTCCATCGTCTAAAGGCTCATTCACACATCTGCATTTGGTTGCAGCCTAGCACCTTGCGTTCCCCTACGGCAAGAAAGCACGCCAGTCACCGTCTATGAGGCAGCCCTAGAACTGTGTTTAAAGTGAAGATTTTGCAGTATTTGCTGGATCATATTTACCTACAATCTACGAGAAATGGTTCACTGCGTCAAAAGATTTCAAGCCCACAATGAAAGAATAGTGCACAAAACAAGTTGGGAAATGTACACAAACCGCAAGTGTTAGATAGATGGTGCCGGCATGTTTTCTTGTCATAAGCAATCATGAGGGAGCACAGTGCTGCGCCTTGCACTCGGCTGCAACCGGATGCAAGTGCAACTTGCCTCGAAATTAGTGCGACACATTAATAGACGCATCTAAACCAATTGCCCAAATTACAAATCTTTTTTTTTTTTTTTCTTTTTGTTAAGTTTTTGAAGTTTTGTTGGGCAGAGGCGTTCTACTGGCAACACTGAAATTGCGACATCAAATGTTGCCCGACGGGCTACAAGAACTTTGATGGTGTGAAATGAATGCTGGGGGAGCTCACGCCTGCAAAACGAAAAGAAATGCAGCGCACACGAAATAATGCATTTATTAGGCTGCCTGCTTGACCTGCAAATTATTACTTGGGACGTCACCTTGCTGGAGACAACAGGAAAATTTGTTTGTTGGTTTTGGCATAACCTTCGGCCGTTTTATTGATAGCTATTTTGAATTTAAGATAATGCATAGTGTGCCAGAAAGAGCAAAACCACCAAAGCTCCCCCCCCTAACGAAGCAGCGTCGCTCGAGAGTGTCCATCCCCCTGCAGGTGGTGGACGTGGATCCCTTCTGGGTGCCCTCGACGGAGGAAGAGTACGCCCACTTCGGGGAGAAGGCCGACACGGAGAACCGGGCCCGCAAGTACATGGATGCCGTGCGCCGGAGGAAGGGCCTGCCTGTCGGAGAGAAGGTGGTGGAACATGCCGAGAAGCAGCGGACGCGCTCCAGGAAGAAGTAGCAGACGTCTGGTTCCCCGTCCGAGAGTCGGATGTCCGGGAAGAACCATCCGATGTCCAGTTCTCTGTCTGGCGACTGGATAGCAACTTGGTGACGGGCAGTAATGGGGAAGCTTTCAACGAGAGGCTAGTCGGCATGGCGGAAATAAAGGGAAAGGATGTGTGGCGAAGGAAACTGTTTGAAGGGATGTTATTGGGGGAAAGAAGGACTATGTGTCAACTATTTTGTGCTACATTGTCGAGGTCAGCGTAGCTTCCACGGTGCTGCAGCCCCACACTGTTGCGGGACCTTGTGCGTGTGAGTCCCCCTGCATTCGCACAAGCAACTTCGGTGGCATTGGAACACCGTGGAGGCTATGCTAGCCTCGACGACGCGGTACAACAGAGTTGGTACCAAGTATAATGGGTTACGGAGAGAGTGATTGAGAAGCGGGCGAGAGGCTGGCCCTGCCCTTTGCGGAGGGCGGTAGCGCTTTGACGGTATTCGCAGGGGCAGATGCTTTCCGATGACATTTCTCCGGACGACTTTTCATCGCCAGCCAATCGTGGAAGAAGCCCGGGGAAGAACGGAGCGACAGGATCTGATCTTCCCCCGTTGTAACACCAGAGCTCACTTACCTCTTCCTAAGAGCCATAAATAAAAAAGGAGAGAGGCAAGTTCCATTGAAGGTTAGTGGTGGTGTTAATATGTTACTGCATATTTTTCAGTGAGCTGCAAGTGACTCCAGTTCACTACAAGGTGAGAAGGGCATGGGGGAGCTTCAGGTGTCCCGCCTCCAGTGCGGGGTATAAGGCCCTACCATAAATCATAACAAAGACAATGTTACCCACTTTAAGAAAGTTTCGGTGCGTCATACACCTAGAGCACACACAAGAATCCCAGGCACGGGCGCAGAACGAACACATGCTAAAGGCCGGGTGTCCTCAAGTTACGCCCTGCAGCTTCCATTCTCTTAGTGACCATAGGCATCTCAGATTTGGTACACCTGGAAGATATTGTTGATTTCATGCAGTCATGTGACCCGTCTTTCGTAAATAATGTGGAGAGATTTTTTTTAGTTCTGCAGTTTATGTTGCTTCTCTCTATTTTACATCCACATACTGCCTTGCAGTTTTATGGGTGACCCTTTTCTTTCCGCTTGCCATTACTATCTCATTGGGACAACCCCAAGTTTCTTGTAAATGTTTCGGGTGACGGAGCAGCTACTGGCTGCAGCATTTGTTTTCCCCTCTTTTGCAGCTTTCGAGGCTTATGGCCATTCATTCATCGCAACGAGAAACAGAAACTGATGCCCGTTTTGCGCTTCACGAATGTGGAGCATTCATTCCGAGTGCAACTAAACCAAAGCGGCAAAAGTCGCTCTATGGTCCCTCTACGGGAGAAATTTTAATGGTCGTTGATTTGCCTCAAAAATGGCTTCATTGCATCCATAGACACAGCTCAATTAGTAACCCAAATATTAGGTTGAAATATTATTTTTTTTGCAAAGTTATTGAACCTCATCTCCAGGAACAACTAGTTCCTGGAGGTTTACAAGACATTTTATGGCACAAAATGAATGCTAAAAAAACTCACTCCAAGAGAATGAAAAAAAAAAAAAATGTGCATCATGTTTTGTAGACTGCCTGCTCGACCTGCAAGTTTTACGACATCCGACGTTGCACCACCACAGTGCGAGAAAACTTGAATGTCGGGTAACTTCATTTTTCATTTTCTGAATAGTTATGAAGAATTTAAAGATATCCAGTAGTATGCTGGGAAATGTGAATCATTTTCGAACTTGGGTCAATTAACTGTGGGAATTAGTCTGTGTTACCCATGCAAACTGCAAGTTTGTCTGCTCCTTTTGCAGGGGTTGTGGTGACGTCAGAACACCGAGCTTTGATTGGCTCTGATTGAATATAGTGAGTAGACCTGAAAGCAAGCTACCTCGAGGTGTTACCCACTATCCTTGAGCGCGGCCTTTCTGACGTCACCACAACCCCTGCAAAAAAAAAGCAGACGAACTTGCACCCTGCATAGAACGAATAAGGTAAAATCATTTTTCTCTTGTGTGCGCTAGATTCAATTTTAAAAAAGATAAACAAGTGAAAGGTCGGATTACGTCTCAACTCTCGCACCATCTTTTGAGTGACGTCGCTGAGAGCACCAACTGGTTTCCCATTGGGTTCTGTCTTCGGGGATTCTCCCTTCGCGATTGTCGACTTTCCAGGATTGGCATCGCCGAAGGTTGTGACAAGCGACCGAGACATATGACGGTTCGTTATGAGGCTGACAACAAGTATAGCAGCAAATAGGGACTGGTTTTTGTTGACGTCAGCATACTCCCAATGAAGGGACACCCCATAACTGCCACATGTTGCTGCAGATCGGCAAAAAATGTTTTTTCGTTTGCGGGCAAAATCGGATTACTTCGGGGAAAGGTGGCGAGTTTTCTCTCGCTCGCACCAAGATAAACGATATGAGAAACAAAAGCTACAAACTATTTCAACCTTAAAATCATTGCACTGCTCCTTTAACCTTTCGAGTGCAGGGCTTTTTTTCCCCGCATGTCGAACGCAAGTTTTGGTCCCATGCAGAAAAACCGTTGCATGCTTTATGAAGTATATTTTTACCGACGGCACACTGATCTATGGGCTCAAAGTTAATCGATGTCTGCATGCCTCTAACCTAGAACTTTTCCTCGAATTGTACTTTTCAAGACGCAAAGTGGCATTCCAGCCTCACACCCTCGAGCCGCCCTTTTTGAGTAGCCTCAACTGACATTTGTTTTATTCAGAACTGGGACCTTCTCATTTAATTTATTACTAATTTCTAGATCTCGGCATTTGCCATTAAGTGTGGGGTTGAACGACACAGATGCACTTTTCTGGAGCAGCAAGAGCAAACAGAGCTGAAGTCCCCTAAACAAAACTTTCTATGTGTTGTCGACGGGTGTTGTTACGGGACAAAACGTTGCCCTAAACATAAAAATAAAATCGACAGCCAAGTTGGGAGAGGTAGGGAACACGTTGAAACTGAGACCTGCACGAAAGCGTGCCCTAGTATATTCAGGCACGACGCTCGAAGGTTTAAGAAAACAGCCGAGTTGCAGTCCACGTCTAGGGAACAAACGCTACGTCGACATGCAACAGCAGGTGCTTTTGACTCACTCCTTCGCTTTATTCAACGAGACCTACAAACTCTGCAAAAATGTGACGTCACCGTGCCTGGCAGATGCGCGCGAGCTGATGCGGGTTGTAGCCACTCAAGAACTTGAGCTCCATGCGTCCCTCTTCTGTCCAGCCTGCGAAAGTTTTGGGGTCCCGTCAACAACCCAAATCGGCCCTCGGACCATTCTTGTTTCGGAAATGAAGAGACGAACTCTCGAGCTACGCTTGAAACAACTTTAAGCACGATACACTCTGCAACAGAAACTCGCAGCAGACGCCTGCCAATAAGCGCCAACTCGTTCTTTTCGGAAATGTCCAGTTTCATGTTGCGAAGTAAGGAAACTTTACTTCTTTTCCGAAAAAACGGAAATGAAAAAAGTCATGGTGCAGCTGGCACACATTTGCAAATGCAGCTTTTCTCTGGAGTTCTCTTTAATGGCTGAACTTCGGAAACACGCTGAACACCAAGTTATATGCGAAGTGACTAAGAATTTGCATAAGAGGCTCTATTCCGACACAAGCTGTATGGTGGCATACACTAAAGATTCTGGGTGGCCATGTTTCTCAACGTTTATGAGGAGTATCAAGAGACACGGACATGTTTCCACGTTTCTGGCGTGGATAGGGACACGAGTGCCGGACACTAATTTGGCAAAGACAACTCACCGCGCCGGTTCTGAATGTACCGGCGGTCCACGTAATAGTCCAGGCAGCTTTCAATCTCCTTCTCGCTGTAACCCGGGACGTGGACTGGCACAAATGGCTCGAAGAACTCGAAACCCTGTAAGCAATCGACACGGAACGGCGTCGCCTTTGTCAAGACCGGCCCGAGGGGGTTAGCCGCATACACTGAGCAGGATCGAGACACAAAAAGTCGAAGTTAATCCAAGTATAAAGCACACCTCGCACTAAGTAGCACAGGGTGACCACCCGTCCCGCAACTCGCGGGACTGTCCCGTATTGAGGGCTCATGTCCCGCATCCCGTGATAAATTTCCAAATCTTCAAAATGTCCCGCCATTTCACGCTGTCGTAAAATTCACTCCGCAACGCGTGGTGCTGCCGAACAATGGGGCACGGGGAAGCGCGGAGGTTGCTGGTAATCGTGTGAATAGCAATGATGCGCCATTTCCTATCCAAGCATTACGAGAAGTGACCGTCGTTCTTGCAGGAGAACCCAAGCACATGTGCCGTTGTGCCTCTCCCCTTGGTGGAGAAATATTGTAGGAAAAATTGCTCGCCACAAGTTTAAATATAAAATATTGTAATTATTTTCAAATCGCTGTGTCGATGCAAAAAGATTGCTGTGTATTTTTTTTTTTTTTTCGGAGAAAACAGTTACACAAGTCTAAAAGCCTGCAACTCAACGGTTGAGAAAGAACATGTGTTAAAAATTTCTGTAGGATCATGTTGATAAAAGTAAGCATTGACAGGAAATTATGAACCAAAAAAGATTTCCTCTTTCTTATTTCCATTTGATGCATTGAGTTCTGCTACAGCCAATTTTTATGTTTTCAACTTCAACACGCTTAATAACATATTTGGCAAAAAAAAAATATATTACTGGGAGTGAAAATTATTTGAGCCTAATTGCTACAATACAATTAGCAGGTGTTTAAACAGCACATGATATTAAATGTGTTACAGGGCCTCGGTTCGTGGTGTGTGTGTGTGTTAACAAATTTCCTCCCCCTGCTCTGCCTGTCCCGCATTTCACTAGCAGAGAAGGTGGTCATTCTACAGTAGCGTTAGCTCAATACCATGTCGGACAATGGAGAAAACGCAACCATACAACGTGAAGACTGGTTCAAGTCTGGTGCATTCCATTTCACTCCAGCTAACACTCTTCCGTCCAAAACGGTGACAAGGAGATGGGCTCGTCTGCTTAAGCGAGGGTGTCGCTTTCACTTGAATGCACATTAGCTTCGTTCGATTCACCTACACCTTCTGCACCGGTGCAGGAAGTTCAGTTAAATCAAACGAAGCTACTGTTTAAAGTTGCTTGTGGGCCAGTTTGAGACGGTCCGTCGAAACTACTCCGTCTGGTCCATTAACATTGATTGTGAAAGTCTTCTAGTTCTTTGCGAGCCCAAGATGCGGACTAGTGTGCGGTGGCTAGAGGGAGCGTCGAACCAAATCTGTGTGGGAAAAATGTCCGTGGCCTCGTGAAGGTCTGATGGTGGTTTTGGAACGAATGGGTACTAGCCAAGTGTCTTTGAAGACCTCTAGTCTCTCGACGCATGTCTCAATCTTGGGAAGCACCGTTGTGGTGGCCGAAAGGGCTGTGAATTCGGCCGGCAGGCAAAGCAAAGTGCCACAGAAGAGCTGGGATGCGGAACAGGCGAGGTCTTCTCTGATGGCTGCACAAATGCCAAGAAGGACAATCGGAAGAATCTCCAACCTGTAGTAACCTAGATCGGTGTTCCAAAGCGTGCGACCCAGGTGCCAGTGAAAGCGGCCAGCCTCGGCTGCGGTGTCTTGGATGGGTGTCGCTTCCGGCCAGCGGGCAAACTGATCGACAGCGGTGGGGAGGTGTCGGTACCCTTTGCACGTTGTAGAGGTCCGACGATACCCGTGCGAACCTTCTCGAGACGATGGTCAGGAGGGATAAACTTGGCAAGGGGAGTTTTAGTGTGCCGGTTTATTTCGGCACACTGGCACGACAAACACTCCCGAGGCCACTCTCGAGTATCGACGTTCGTGCCCGGCCAGTAGTAGCACTCTGCAACAAGTTCCCGAGAAGCTCTGATTCCAGGATGAGCGAGAAAAGGGGGGAAGTCAAAACCTCGTCAGCATAGCTCTGCAGAGACGAGTGGGCGCTGCCTGCCAGTGGAAGTGTCGCACACGACGGGGAGACGCCCTTCAAGGAATCGGGAACCTCCGTGAGCTGTAGGGACGTTGAGGAGCTGTGGAGGTGTCGGAGCTCTTCATTCTGCTCTTGCAGTCTGGCTAAAGCTTTCCGTGACAAATCTGGGATGTGGAACAACGCAACGCAGCTGGCCGTAAAATTCCGAGCGAGCACCCGCTCAATCTCTTTGGAGATAATCTTGTAAAACGGGGGTGGGGGGGGGGGGGTACACTTGTTAAGTCAGCAATATGTAAAGATATGTCCTTTGTCTACTTTTATAATACTGTAAAACCCTTAATGTTTGCGAGCCCTTCATTTTCACACATTTCATGAACTGAAAAATTTGCGAAATTTAGTGGCCGCGATTATGTCCTCTGTGACTGATTCGCGAAAAATAAGGGTTGCAAAAATAAAGGGTTTTACAGTATTACAAAATTTAGGGACGGGCGCTTATTGTAGAGTGGGCACACGCTCAGTATTTTACGGCAGTGTGTCTGCAGGGACGGTCCGAGCTCCTTTGATGTGTCGTATGTCTGTGGGAAAATTCAGCCAAGAAAGCAGGGTGTCTAACTTCTCTAGGAGAATGACCGGTTCTGGCAGCCTCAAAGGCGTGTGGGTTCGTGAAGAGGATGAATTCGCGTCCTTCCAGGAAGTGTAGGAAGTGCACAGCCAGGCAGGCAGCCGGTGGCTCCTGACCAAAGGCACTGTAGCACTTCTCGGGGTCCGTCAGTTTCTTCAAAAGAATCCAAGTGGTCTCCATGCTCCACCGAGGTACTGCTGGACCAGAGCTCCAAGGGCGACTCTCAAGGCATCAACCATGATGCTTGCGAGGATATCATGCTGTGGATGTTTCAGCAGAGCAGAATCAGCTAGAATGATCATGGCAGCGTAGAAAGCATCCCCAGCCTCCTGAGTCCTTGAAACTGTAGCTGTTGAAGACTTGTATTGCGCGAGCCCAGCTTCAAGAGGTTCGAGGATGGTGGCGCAATGCCATACAAAGCGCCGGTAAAAGCTCACCGACGGAAACGGCACAGTTGCCGCAGGGATTTAGGGCAAGGAAACTTGGCGATGACCTTCACTTTCGTCGGCAGCGGTCGAATGCCTCGGTTGGTTGTCCACTACATGTCCCGAAAAGTCCAAGGAAAAGAACCCCAAACTTGCACTTGTCGACAATTACGATGAGGTTGTATTCTCGAAGTCATTCAAAGAGAAGTCGGAGATGGCGAAGGTGCTCCCCGGGTGACATACTTGCGACCGGACTATCGCAGATGCACGCAAGAAAAAAAGGGAGTCCCCGCGTTACAACGTCCACGAATCTCCAAAAGGTTCGCGTGGAATTTCTCGGCCCAAATGGCGTACGAGTAAACTCAACGGCCCAAATGGCGTCCTGATAGTGGTCCTTGAGATGTCCTCTGTGGCTACAGGAATTTGATGATTTGCCTTCGTAAGATCTATCTTTAAAAAGGTGGTGAATCCACCGAGGTTGACAGAGAAGTCTTAAACGTTGGGTAGGGGATCGCAGTCAGGGGGTGTGGCCAGGTTTGGCGCACAGTAGTGTCCGCAAGGCCTTCAGTCGCCGGCTGTCTTCTTTGGAACCACCTGTGGATGCGGGGATCAACGGCTCAAAAACAGCCAAACAATGTCCGTCTCCAACACATGTTCGAACTCTTGCCTGGCGACGTGGAGCTTTTCGGGAGATGGCCACCGTGGAACAGCACGAGTCGGCTGACCGCGGGTGATGACGCGGTGCACAATGTCATGCGTCACAGGATTTTTCCCATCGGGGTCGGGAATTCTTTTATTAGGCTCGTATGTGGCTCGGGCATGCAGCATTCTGTCGAAAAAGCGAAGGACGAGATGCTTGTACCGGTCACCGGAGTCTGGTGATAGAATCAGTGAGTTTCTCGTGTGTCATGTCAACCAAAAGCGCAAACTCGGATAGAAATTCCGCACCCAGGATGGCGTGACCAACTAATGCGACAAAAAACGCCCGACGAAACGTACGCCGAACATCCAGTTCGACAGCAAGGGATCTTCGTCTGTAAACGGGGATGCTACTGCCGTTCACTACACATAGGTAGCAGATGAGGCTGGAGCCCTTGTCTACGGAACGTGCAGGAAGAATGCCGACTTCAACCCCCGTGTAGACGAGAATCTCAGAATCCAAGAGTTTGTCCCCGAGGAAAAACGGGCGACTATCGGTGGGTTTCGGAGCAGCACTTGTCGCCGCTGGTGTTCTCTGGTCTCGTTTCCCGACCCCCCGCAAAGCCACGTGCAGCGTTCTGCTCTGGAACCGAATTTGCAATGGTACCAGCAAAGGTCGGAGGTCTGGAGATTAACTCCTCGAAGACCGTCGTCTCGAGAGAGAGACGCACGACGTGGCAATTGAGCAGAACGGGAGGGGTGGTCATAATTAGAGTTTCCCGAATGACCGGCCAGGGAGCTCACGACGAAGGAGGATAGGTTCTCGAATTCTTCTTGCAGGATCTCGGAAAGATAATGTGCTTCTCGACTGGAGCCAAGTAGAGTGGCTGAAGCTTGCTCACCCGGAGACACTTGTACGTCGGAGCTGCACACAGAAGTTCGAGATGATGCGGTTTCTGCGATCTCGTCAGCATGTGGCGCCAGAGCTGACAGGGTCAAATCCATTGCAATGGCGAGCAGCATCTGTACCGTCGGAGGAAGACGTTGCAGAAAGAGTTCTTTTACGAGTGCGGCGTCAAATGCTGCTGCCTGCTCGCCAAGCAAGGTCTGCATGTGACGGAGAAGCTGCGAAGGGCGTCGATCTCCAAGTTATTCCGCCGAAAGCAGTTGCTGTAGTAGCTTGCATTGTGAAATTGTTGTTTACTCAAGCATGGCAGCTTTTGGCGCGTCATACGGTGCAGCAGCAGGCGAATTTGACAGAACATTGCAAACTTCAACGCTACTTTATTCGGAAGGGCAGCTGCCAAATGTCCGAAACGTGTCACTTGTGATCCGACGTTCGAGACACTGAAGCGGACTTATAGTTGCAAAAAGCAGACTTGTGGGTGCCGTAGCCTAGCCAGAGGGGAAAAGGCGCACGGCATGGTGACTGGTAGTCCGGGGCAGCTCACCATTACGATGTGTTTCTAATGCTTTACTGACCGTAGTCTAAGTCACCGATGCAGCGGACAACAGAGAAAACGCAACCACACAACGTGAAGATTGGTTTAAATCTGGTGTATTCTATTCCGCACCCACTGGCCGGCATTCGGCACACACTCTCCGCTCATTTCCAATTGGCGCCGCCACAATACCACGACGCAACGTACTTGTAAGAACCTGATACTTATATAAGAGACAACCAGTATGACTAAAATACTGAGGTGGGCTAGTTGGCTCAACGTACTGAAGATGAATATTGAACAACATGTTTATAGTATAGGAATAGTGCTATCCTGCCTACTTCATGTCCGTGTCTGTCCCTTGCACTTTATAATTTCAACCTGTATGACCTATTAAATAATGAACAAGTGTTGCACGAAAATTTCTGTTGGCTCATTATAATAACGGGATTTACGAGTCAATTCATGGTTAAATTTACACTGTGCACATAACAAAGGCTAAATCGACACGGGTGGTATCATATGAAAGATCAGTCACATTCATTTGCCAGCCGTTCACACTGCACGATTCACGTCAAGCTTTTTCTTCTATCCACATGTTGGACACTCAAAAGAACTGTCCGACACATAGACTACTTATCAGAAACGTTTACCCACCTTGAGTCCGAGGAGGTACTTTGGGTAATAGCTTGGTACGTCCAGCTGATCCATCTTGAGGTGCCTCAGGGGCAGGCCAGTTGGATCCACTGTGACCACGATGGCCGCATTTCTCTGCGAGCAGGTTAGACGTGAGAGGTTGTGCTTGGCAAACATAGTTGAGAGACCCCTATGTGCAAGGCCATTTGCGAAAGCTTTGGCACCAAAAAATGCACGCAGGTTTCGTGAACAACTTGAGCTGGAGTGCGGATCGCTGCACAATTGAGATAAGGTAGCTTTTGCCGTGGGTTGCGATAATCAGAAACATAGCTTAGATGGATTGTGAACCAATCGTTAATCTTTGGCTGAATATAGTGCTCAGAACAAAACTTTGATATTTTATGGTAGAGCCTCACTTTAGCTAAAGAACAATGTAATAACAATATGAATCTACGGGGAAGCAATGTTAGAAGTAATGCCCCTACTGCTCGCACATGCGTTTGAGTTACTGACGTAACGAAAACGCCGACTTTACCAGAGGGAGGTTTCTGGTTTGCATGGTCGGTCGTAAAAACACAGATGCTTGAATTTCGCTGAAGCTCCCCTTAGTTACCGATTTGCCTCAATATTCGTTCCGACACAAGACACATCTGAACTCGTAATCCAAATTGCAAGTCACAACCATTTTTCTTTCTAGCAAAGTTATTAAAGTTTCAGATTTTGTCCGAGAGCCACCAAGACGCCCCACTGGAAACACTGATGGGGCAATATATATGGGCATTACTGGTTATCCTCGACGGGTTACAAGTTTAATGGCAAGAAATGAATGCTGGTTAAGCTGACGCCAACAGAACAAAGAAACATGCACAAAATGCTGCATTTTTTTCACTACCTGCTCAACACGCAAGTTGTACATGTGACGCTGCCCCGCTCAAGGGTGCGGGAAAATTTGTACGTCGGTTTTGGCAGTACCTTTTATTTGATATTTTCTGAATAGTCGTTTTGAATTTAGAGATAATTAATAGCATGCAGGAAATAGTCGAGCCTGTCATATTTTCAAAATGTGTTTAGTTTCGGTAGCTCGAAAAATGCCGGAGCTCCCTCTTATTAACTAATTGTAAACCGATCGGAACTGAAAAAATTTGCAAGCCTCTGTTTGTTCCTTGCACCCAGCGCCGACGTTTCCTTACCCAGTCATTTTTGAGCACCTCCTTGAAGTGCCGCACAATGCTGAAGTCCTCGGCAGGAATCTGAAGAAGTTTTGGCAAGTATTAAGTCCCATGTGGACCCAACTCGACCCCCACCCCCCGAACAACGGGGACCTTCAACGCCAACTTACGAAAGAGCGATCCAGTCGACGTAAGTAGGAGTCATGCCAAAACGTATTGACGCCTCTTAGCATCACCAGTGTCTTCACCCTGAAAAAGTGACATCCGTTTGTTGAGGCTCCGTTCCTGCGTCCACTGTTTTGGCAATGTCGGCTTAAAAGCTCCTTTTTTTTTCTCGTTAGTTTAACATTTAACATGGCCTTCTGCTAGGCCTGCGATCCCGACATCACCTCGGTATGTCCATGTCCGGAGGTCGAGACCAAAACTTTGCGCCCCAGCCCTAACCAGGACGACGCTCCTTCGAAAACTGGCACACGCTTTAAAAAGGCACGGCGAGATTTTCACGTTCACGTCATGCATGACAGTACAGTCGTGCATTATTAATTGAGAACTCATTTATATGGACACCCCGCTACATAGACTAACTTTTCAGGGATGAACTGGCGGAGTATCGGTCCTTATTAACGAGATACATCCGTAGAACCTTTAGAAACACGCCGTAACTTCTGAATTCCTAGTGTCCTGCTTCGATTACCAAGCTGCAACTACCCTGTCTTGTATTAAGCTTCCGCAAACGTAGCTGGGTACAAGTTAAATCACATGCATCGTTCGTAGCTTACAATGATGATTAACGGTGTATATGGGCGCAGCAGCAACAAAGGCTATGCAGAGCACAAAGTTGTCTGCTTTTTTTGCAGGGGTTGTGGTGACGTCAGAGCGCCGAGCTCCGATTGGCTCTGATTAAGGGATGGTGGGTAGACCCCAAAGCAAGCTGCCTTGAGGTCTACCCACTATCCTTCAATCAAAGCCAATGGGAGCTCGCCGTTCTGACGGCACCACAACCCCGGCAAAATATGCAGACGAACTTGCAGTCTGCATGGTATGCCGAGTCATCCTGAGCTTATCGGAGCTCTAAACAAAGGATTGGAATGCAGTCGCACCTGCCAGAGTTCGTGTATTGCTTGATCTCCCGCAAGAGCGCCCCGAGGCAATCGCAGGAGTGCTTGATACGCTCCACGCCCTGAAAAAAAGAGTGGTCACTCGCAAGGGTTGTTGTGTAGGGGGGTCGTTTACGGATGCTCACGTGGTCGATAATGTTGGTGAGAGGCTCTCCCTTTTCGGTCACCTCTCGCTCGGACCATTTGTACGTCTCCATGGCGGTCAGCTGTGGGAACACCAAAACCACTGGGTTAGTCGCCGAAGGTAGTCAGGTTGCCAGGATGTACTACCGACGTCCCTAGGACATCCCTGGAACGTTGCAACATCCCAAGAGTGTCCATAGACTGCGCGTGCGCTGCTAAGGATAGCAAAACGTGCCATCGGATATGTCGGAACAAACAGCAACCGAGAGAAGAGATTGGTTAAAATAACATTGTCAACAAATCTGGCTGAACTAAACGACATAAACGTGAACCGCAACACGTTAACGCCAGTACTGCTTTACTTGCTTGTCCTTGACACATTTGCACTATTTTATCTGTACCAAGAAACGCACCGACTGGCCCAGCAACACACTTTACTAGATCATTGATGACGTCGGTTTGCCACGTATGACTTGACGACGTACGAACACTTTGTAGAGAGAGCTGCAGCAGCTCTGCCGGATCGCCGATCTGGTGATCTGGCAGATCACCATAATACACCAACATTGAAAAAAAAAAAAAAAAAAATGAACACCAAGAAACATTTGTCAATTTCTCACATAAATAAACGCTGGAAGGTTTACGGACCTACTTATAAAGCGTTTGTAATTTGTTTCACATTAAGTTTGACTGCAGCCGACGCTACGATCCCAAAGAGCCAATCAAACGGTGCCAAAAGTGCATCGTCGGGGCACTCGTATTTGTGCATTTACCATCGCTAACTGAACCAATCACGCAGAGAAAACAGCGCAAGATCACAGTGCATTCGCTGCGCACGATTGCTTTGGCCGGGGATAGCTAACGCGCAGACGACGACGTCCTTCTGGTGTCACTCCATTGGCCCCATCAAATCGTGGTCAGCTGCGGTCGGACTTGGGAGTGAAATAGGGTATGGGAGACAAAAAACGCTACGAGCCAAAGCGGAATTTTAGAAAATGTTACTACAAATGCGTAACAACACCAACATTCAACTCTTGTAGCAGCTGGCTGTTGAGGACGCGGAAGTGCTGAAGCCAGACAGCAGCGTCTATGGGCGAGTCGATGAGTGTTTCGTCCGCGGCGTTGGCCGTGTGCTCCTTGGGGCGTTTCACCCACATGGGAGCTGCAACGAAGCAAGAGCGGGGTTACGCCCGCCTTCCCCGAAATGTGCCGTCGGCCATCCTCACCCCAGTCCTTGGAGACAATGAGCCAGTTGTTGACGGCGGCGTAGTGAAGCAAGTGGGCTTGAGTGACCGCCTTGCCAGATCCCTGCTTACCGTCTGGGCACAAGGGTCAAGTACTCGCTTCATAATTACGAGCTTCGTCACCCGCGTTCATGCTCCGGCATGATTCGGCAAGTAGGGAATGCCGTGGCTACAACGAGCCAGTTATAGGTCGTTTGTGAGAACGAGACGAGTTACAGTGTTCCGTCGGAGTGCACTTTCCGCTTAAAGCTGTTTCGGGCTTTGCTCAGTCACTTTGAGTGGCTCGTAGCTTTTACCGTCTGCCAAATTACACTGAAACAGGGTTTAGGCCTAGGTAGTTCCTGCGGCAGTGGGGTCACAGGGGCTGTCAATTCTGTTGCGATCAATGCTACTTTTCCAAAAGGAAAATAGAGCCTTACAGTTTCTTAATTTTCTTTGAACTTAAATAGTATTTCAAGAACATTTTGGGTGCTTGTATCTTTCTCAAAGTATGTTTCAAGAACCTGATCCGTGTACATCTTTGTGAGCCGAGATCATTGAGTCTGTACCATCAGCAGGGGAGCGGTAAGGAGACATTTACAAGTACCATCTACAGCACTCCCCTGACCTTAACATCTATCCCCTCAATCGCGACGTCTTTGCGCTATATTCGAAGTACCACCACCTGAGCACCGCGCAAAACCGTTTTTTTCACCGACCAACTCCGCTCGCACTCTGCTATTCATTCAAAATGAAGCAAAAGGATACAGAGCATAATCCTGAGGGCTGGTAATTTATAATTGTAATTCTCGAGGAACGCCTTGACTTCGAGGAACGGTTGCCGGACCATCACGCAGAACTCTGCAAACATCTCGTTCTGCAAGAAGGGTGGACAGTTCACAGAGCTTGGAAGACGACGCTCGAGCTAGGGTGTTGTCAAAAAGGATGCAAGCATAATCTAAATCCCATAAATCTGATTGACGGCGTGGACGCGGGTGAATTGAGACAGAACTAGTCACTAGAAATAAGAGCAAACTAACTTTTTCGGAGCCTTGAACTGCACACGGTGTATGCCGAACAATCGGGAGAAAAGAAAACTGCGTTTTTCTCACGGCAGAAATGAACTATGCATCGCCCAATGCCTAATCTCTACCCAATGGCAGCGCTAGTAGTCGGCACAGTCGCCAAAGTTTCAGAACTTACCATTATGAGATTCAAAAGTCGAGATTCACAGAAATTTTTAATAAAAAAAGCGGCGGCCCACGAACACATGGAGATGAATGGCACTTTCTACCAAAACCGGGCCCCATTTTTTTTCAATTAAAATTTGTGTAAATCATTTGTAACTTTTGAAACGGGTAAAGCAAAATTCTGAAACTTCTGCATCTGGTTCCAACTGTTAGCACTATATTTTGGCAAAGACGAAGCATTTGGCCAAGCGCAATTAATTTCCCTGTGAGAAGAATGTGGTTTTCTTTTCCAAAACACCCGTTATAATTAATTTCAATTCATGAAAATGCACCGAGGATGTGGGCTCCATTCATTCTTGTATGGCTAGCAAGTCTCATTTGTCACTGGCGAGCCTTATTCACATGCACATGGTTCACACGTCCGCATACATGTATTGGGGAGGAGGACAGACCATGACGCCCCAAACGGTTAACTTTAGAACTACACGGATGGGGACAACAAATACAATGACTCAGCGCTCGGCCGACATAACCGAATGCGGCGTCAGCGCTCGGTTGGAGTTTGTGTTCTCCGGTAAGGGGGAGGAGGGGCTCTTTTGTTTCCACTACGGCCTGCATGAACAATGCAGCATGCACGGTCCCAGCTCAGCACAAAAGCCGAAGTGGGTCAAGCTCGCATTCTCTGAGGATAGATCCGGCACTTAACGTTGCTTCGTCGATTGTTAGTATTTTTTACACTAAACTGTACCCCGCGCTCTATTGTAGAAGGTGACATGGACATGCCCATAAGGCCTGTCGGCATGTGCACAGGCCTTGTGTTGAGTAAACACAGCGCGTGAGGAAAACAAACGGGTCAGAGCGCCCCCTATAGTTCGATCTCCTGCCCAATAGATAGATTTATGTCGCATACCATTACTTCCATCTTTTTAGTGGGCCTGAAGATCTGGAAGATTGATTTCTGGATGTCTGGTGGAACAGTGTAGAAGAGCCCTTCATGCTGCTTGGTGTGATTGGTCTGCAAAGAGAAGACCTGCGTTGTAAGGATGCATAGTTTCCAGGAAAAGCTGAACTTAGGGAGAGGGGGTTGCGTTTTTCTTTTCTTTTTTTTACGTACGGGATTTGACTCAGAAGTTCGGAAGTTGGAAGGGGTCTTGTAGGCAGGTGCAACTTGCGTCGATAATCGTCTGCAGAGTTCTGGCTCTCTTAAGCAGCTTGATCGCAGCAACGAACCTTCATGACGAGGGAAAAGGCAAAATCGTGGTTACAACATGGAACTTTTTTATGTTTTGCTCTCAAGCACTTGCAAGATGAATATCACGCAGGGCTCTTTGCTTCCACGGTATTTGACAAGTATGCCACCAACTTACACCCTATTTAAAGCTTACTGTTATTCCATATTGTGTCTTAGAAAACACGATATTTTTTTCCTTACGCAGCCAGGGTTTTACTCGTGTTTTTTTCCCCTTAGCTTTGGGTCTCAAGTGCAAAGGCGATCACCGTGTATTCGCTGATCTAAGTTATCCTGAATAAAATGTTGATGCGATGATAATATTCCTCGAGCCACATCCGATCGGTCCTTTTGCGGTTAATTCTGTAAGCGCGAAGTTCTAATATTTAATAAAAAAAAGAAATTACTCACGGGCAACTTTCTGTGCCATGCTTCCTTGGAGAAACCAAAATTGACTCGCAGGAAGAGTCGAGGCGATGCGCAATGCTGGCGCCATCTAGAAATATATCTCGCTCTCCCAAGATATAATTTAAACGTACAGACAACAAAAAAAAACATTTTTGGTAGTGTGTACGTGGATAATTTGAACTGTTATTTTATTATCGCGAGTTAAAGCAAGTTTTGATTGCCCGAGTCCAATGTCAGCTGTTTCCGGTTCCGCCGGCTCGCACATGCTCTTCTTGCCCTTTCATTCGTATTATCACTGACGAAAATTCTTTAGCTAAAAAAACTTAGGGCAAATTCCCAAAAAACACCCGCTCCTTCGTCGTTAACCGGCTATCGAACTGTTCGGTGATGTTCCTCAAGACCGCATCGAAGCTCGCGGCAAGCACCGTGAGAGCGTGCACAACTCCAAGCCGTGCGTACCGTTCAGCGACCTTGCTCCGCCGGGCACCCGTCTGTCCGCACGCATCGGGACCGCACGGACCTCCACACGCCTTCGAAAGCCGCCGACACGCCGGCCACAGCCACTGGCAGAACGTGCGCCACATCAAGGCCGCCAAGGACGCGCACAAAATGTCACAGACGGACAAGTTCGTCCGGCTGATTCAGGCGGCAGTCAAGGTGGGCGGCAGTCCAGACCCCAAGTTGAACCGATCGCTTGCCAACGCCATCGAAAACGCCAAGCGGACCCAGGTGGTTACCAACGCCGCGATAGAGTTGGCCATCAAGCGAGCCAGCGGCGCCGAAAAGCCCAAGAACCTCAGAAAGGCTCTGTACGAGATCATCATGGAACACGGAGTGCTTCTGCTCGTCGACGTGGAGACGCCGAACATCAGCAAGTTCGGAAACGAAATCAAGATCATCTGCAAGAAGCACACTTGCCGGATTTCGCGGGGCGGTGTCAAGGAACAGTTCCTCGAGAAAGGCTTCGTCAGAGTCTCCGGCCGAGAGGACGGAGCCGCTCTGGACTCGGACGCCGCGCTTGACGTCGCCATCCAGCACGGCGCCGAAGACGTCTTCGACATCGACGACGGGGAGAAGACGATGTGCGAGTTTCTCTGTGACGTGACGGACTACTTCGCCCTCTCCAAGGCGCTCACGACGAACGGATACGTTGTCGAGGAGTGCGGCAACAAGTTTGTACCCATGGTGCCCGTCACAATCTCCGAGGAACACATGGGCGTCGTCGGTAGGCTCTGCGACGAACTAGAAGAGCATTCCGACGTTGTGGCGGTGCATACAAATATCGCGTAACGGTGCCAGATGTCGTCTGTATTTTCTCATTCATCCGAGAAGTCTTCGTCTTGTTGATCATCGCTGATCACTGTTGTAGGTTATGAAAAGCAGGTCAAGCCCTTCCCATGAAGCTCTCTGCTCACCATGATCTCCTCCTCTCCACTTGCCTCCTTTTCAGCTCTGCTAAAGTGGAGGCTTTCTGGGAGCAGCTTGTCCCGCTTTTGTTAACCTGCAACAACGCTGTTGAGTGGTGGGGACGGTCAGGCCGAGATATGACGGGTCTTCTGGTTGCCCTGCTTGCAGTATCAAGCTGCACGAGGACTGTGGTTACGGGATGCAAACAGACACGCACCCAAAGCTGTTGGGCTTTTGGTGAAGATGGGTTATCATGAAAATAGGACCCGTATGTACTGTGCCTACAACATTGGTCTGGCTTTCATCTTCGAGGCAGAATGACTTTATAAAGGTTGTTCAGTCCGTGCATTGCACGTGTGCAAACTTTTTAGCCCGCAGTCTCCGAAATAATGTTGATGTCGACTAGTAGCTTCTCATTCAGATTCAAGCTCTTGTCAATAAAACGGTGTTTAGGTCTTGTCGACATGCTGTGTTGAAGGCCAAAAAACGAAAACATGTGTTTTCTCTTACAAAACCATGGGAAAAAAAAGTGCCCGAGCAAATTTGTACGTTGTCGTCATTGTTCTTCTTATGTATTTGCATTGATTCCCTGGAATAGTTGATGACACCACTATGGTTCAGTGATTGCTGTTTTCACCGCACAAAGTAAAAAACATTTTTAGCAGGATACTGTTGGGACACCGTTTGACAATGTGGGTCATATTCTCATGTCCTTCCCAAATCTTCAACCGAACCTTTACAAAAAGATCTTGCAAGGTCTGTTGTTTGCACGCCATCTTTGTTAGGTCCTCTGTTTAAAAGTAGACAGAACCTTTACCTCATCGTGAAACATAGTGTGGTGGTCGTAGCCATTTCATTTCCCACAGCTTGAAAAGCCCACTCTATTCACGCTTGGAGATTTCGCGTTATCCACTTTGCACGCCTCACATCTCTCGGAACATGTAATAACAAGGCGCACCCCATGATATGCATGAAAAATTTTTCCCGCCTGTGAAATGTAGCACAGAAAAAAGGAAGTATTTTTGCTAACTCTGCGATGTAGCTTATTTAGGAAGTTGCATAACATGCGAGATATTTAAGTGCTCAAGTTTTGAATAGATAATGTCTCAATTAGCACACAGAAAGGTAAAGTCTCCACTGAAAACTTGTTAGGCTTAATGAAAGGTGTTTTTTTCAATTACTTTTACAAAAAATAATGCTGCGTTTTACCGAGCCTAGAAGGAAAATGCAATATTAGTGCATTCGTTTGTGGTTTCTGTGTACTACTGGGTTGGGGTGCTGAAGTGCATTCAAATTGTGTTTCCAAGATGCAGTAGGGTGCTGCATACACTCTGTTAAATATTTCTCAAAGTGACTCAAGCTATAGAAACTTGTTAGGTGTTCAGTAGCTCCTAACAAGTTTTTATCTGAAACCATAGCTTTGCCTATACTCAATAAAGTTTACTAAATAAATTTAAAAAAAAAACTAGCTAAATATTTCCAATTCCATGCAACTCCCTAAATAGGCCCCTTGGCAATGACCAATATGGCATGAACCGGTTTTCTATGCAACCCATAATTTTTTTAAAAACAGTTTTATCTATATTTCAGGTCTAATGATTCACGGAATGCTGGAACCTCCAGCTAGAAATGCTTGCCACGGTATGCAATGCAGCACGAGTCAACTTGCAGGCTTCTGCAGCGTGCCATAGCAGTTTTGCAGGTTGTTCATTTATAAAGTTTTCAATGCCATAATGCATAAATGATGCAGTGACTAATACAGATGCCATTAAGTTTTCAAATGTATCGATGAGACAGCCCATTTCCAACTCCACATTCGCTAAAAAAAAAAGCAGCCTATACATCGTCTGTGCTGTGGTCAACTTTTGGGACTAGCGTTTCCAAAAAGAAGCCATTGACATGTCATTGTCTTATCTTTCTCGGAATTGTATGCTACAAGTATTTTGCAAGTAGTTTATTTCTCCCACATGCTGGAATCACTTATCTCAGTGTTATCCTCTGAAGAACAGCTCAGCTCAGCACAACTAAGATGAAGTTGTCAAGTCGCCATATTGTCATTACCAAATTGTCTCCGACAGCGTATGCAACAGTTGGCTTTGCTCGTTCACTACGGGACAATGCCACAACCCTAGAGCACGTCCTGTAGTTCAGTTTGGTCGCTGAAACACGGCTTCATTTCAACCACAGTGTAGAGTAGCTGAGGTGCTATCCAGGAGATATAACATAGATTAGTGCACAGTATAGGAAAAATTGTGGCACAATCTCGTTTCATTGCATACAGTATCATTAGCCGTTACTCCGTTAAGATGCTTTAATGAAAGGTTAACAAAACAGACAGTTTACAGCATCAGTACTAACAAGACAATCTTTTGTTTCCGATGTCATATTCAGTTGATTAGCCACAGACTAGGATTAAACTTTTTGTACAGTCTCTCCAAGCTTTAGAATAAGAAGAGGGCCCTTCAAGCGCCCTGCTCTCAGCCAAATCTTTCTACTTTCAACGAAGACCTGGTGATGCATGAACTCTGCATAAGTGATTGCAGTCTATAGAGACTATTAGCCCCGAGAAGTTCGCGTGGCGCCCCCTTACGGCGAACCGGGGTGACGTCACGACGAGGAGAGAATTTTTCCCCGACTCGGCCCGCTCGCCCTGTGGAGGCTGTGACGACGTTAGCTGACGGCGCGCTCGTTTCTATTTAATTTTTTTTGGCGTATTTTTCGTAGTAAGTGTAAATGTTTATATGAACCTTTATTGAGGTATGACCTGTAGCTGCAGGCGGAACTTCAACCAACATTTTAAGCATGGTTGACAGGGCAGGCAGCGCTGGAATCGCAGCTGGTATATGAAAATGAAGAAATATGGCCACAATTGCAGGAGCATCACTATAGATTTACATCTCGCACAATAAATGCTGCTGATGGTCTGAATGAATTGGCAGGTTATGTATACTTTTTTGTTTTTTGTATCTCTGTTTTTAAACAAGATCGCCGAAGCAGAAAAGCTGCATGCAGCTCGAGCAACATGTTAAATACAGTCTGGGCCATCAAGAAAGAATCACAAGGAAGACAGCCCAAGTGCAGGGGAAAAGTAAAAAAAGAAAAAAAGAAAAAGAACATTTATTATATACATTGCTTGCATTTGACCTTTGCTGGATTCGGATAGTATTTTAATGGACTACACGGGTGGTATCTGTGGACTTGTTTATATCAACCCTCAAGTAATGTATAACAAACGTAAGCGAAGGTGTCTAGCTCGTTATTAGCCCCTTAAGCCCTAAAATTGAGATTTTACTTAAATCAAATTGTCCTGAAGCTAAAATACCAGAAGCTTTTCTCACGCAGACTGTCGCCCTTCACAGGTTCCACATTTTCTGCTACTAGTGCTGCATCTACCACTGGACAGGCGTTCGAATGCTTGCTGTTCCTCCTGTTTTCCTCTGTTTGGAGGCCGAGGAAGCATTTGGGGACCTGCAGCAGTGTCTCTTTTAATTGGAAATGACAATTCAGACTGAACGGTGTATTTTCGGAATAGGCTGGAATAAAGAATGCCAGGAAAAAGTATAAACATTCCATATTACGGCACTATTGCTGTGCATAGTTTGGCAGTTCAATACATATCATACAGACAACTGGGGGCAATTCGGCCGTTTTTGCTGCTACCATACAAGCTAATTTCCAGTAATTGTGCAGCTTCTAAGAAATATGCCTGCATACGCGTATAAACTATATAATTAATTCGCGAAGAAGCTACATTTATGTAAAACAACCCTGTTCCACGAGCACTTCAAGATCATCAGACGCACGGCCTTTAAAACATCTGCGAACCAGCGCATGCAGAGTGGCAGCGCAGAGTCGGGGTCGCGAGCTAATTTGCCGACCACCCAAAGGCCCATGATATAAATGCCACTTCAAATGCCTTGAAAGCGGGATCTAATATCGTCTTAAATCATGAACGTGCAAGGAACAGAATTCCAGCGTCTGAAATGCTTGCGCCATCGCTTCACCGACCCTCGCAAAATTGCCTTGTGTCGTGTGGACGGACGGGGAGGTTCATCGGCGGAATTGCCTCCGCCGAAAGCTTTCGGGATTTGTAACCCAATTTCAAAGGTAAAAGGGACAAGCAGGCTTATAAAATGTACGGAAGCACGTTAATACCGGCCTAACTAAACGTCATATACACCGGGTAAACGAAGTCCAGCTCCTCGAAGAGCTTGCGGCACACAACGCCAAACCAGGAAACCGGTGCTGGGAGGCGAGCCGATGCGAGATCGCGGAGCGGAGTACTCCCCCTGACGTCACGGTACACCTCACCCAATCCGGGCGCGGCGACCGCAGCGACGCTTGTGCTCGCTCTCGGGGCTAATAGAACGGTGCAAGCTCTCCCTGCTAAGCAGGAACACCAAATAACTGTCCTGTTGTGTCCATCCTGGCAGTGGCTATGGTCACAATAGGTTCCACTGTATAAGCTACCTTAGGGAGCACATACAGTGGCTCCGGTCAGACTAAAGACAGAAAAAACCACAACTCAGTTTTCTATTTATTATCTAACCCGTTGTGGACTACTTCATTCTTCCCACTGCCTGTTGGTGTTGAGGTGCGTGAGGAGGTCGGCAGCAAACAGACTCTTCAGCGGCCTCCGCACTTTGGTGTCGTAAATTTCGTACCTGCGGGCACCTATCCGGCGGAACTCCTTTGGCAGGTACTTTTCTTCTTCCTTCATCGAAGGGGGGGGGGGGGGGGGGGGGGGGGGGGGGGACAAAAAAAACGGCCTTTAAAGTTGGAATTAGTTTGGAACAAACCTAGACGGGCAAAGCACAAGTTTTACGCAGTGTCGCACCCCGTCCCACTTTAAGTCCAGCGATTGCAACAGTCAGACGGAGCCAGTCGAGCGGCGCCGAAAGTCCCCTCGTCACGGTGCTCATTTTCTTTGGGGGTTTGCCATCTCCGGCTAAATCAATCACACACGGGACACGCGCGCGATTGATTTAATTGGTGACGACAAACGTACAAAGAAAACGAACGCCGTGATTTCGCACTTTTGCCACCGCTCGACTGGCTCAGTCGGATCGTAGTTTCGGCCGCAGTCGGACTAGAAGGGAAACGGAGTATGGCTGCACGAAGGACGGCCACGGCTTTACTCGGCCACCCTTCACCCGCGTCCGAGCACATTGTTCAAATTCCTCCAGTTTGTCCTCTCTTCTGGCAGGGAAAGAGCTACAGCTTAAGAACTTCACGATCCAAGGTTGATTCTTAAATACATTACTGATGAAACTTTTAGCACAGGTGGCCGTCACCGAGACTCATTCTATGGCGGCTGAAACATTAGTGCCGAGCTATGCACATGCCATAGGACTCTGGACGCTGTGAAGGCCATGCCTTAAACTCTCGTCCTGGCAACTATATACATATAGTTACCAGGACGAGAGTTTCCTGGGTACCAGTGGCGTACCCAGGAATTTTTATTGGGTGGTTTGGATTTTGTGATTGCAGTATGACAAGACAGCAGCGAACAGTAATCAATGTTGCCTTAGTCGGACACCACTTTGCCAGAAATGCGACTCACCTCTGTCAAGTAAGGGCGACTGAGGTACATCATTGCTTCCTCCTCGGTGGCCATTCTGTCCCACAAGCGGAGCTTATGGCCCGCAGTCACCGGAGGTACGATGCGTTTCTTGCTGCAGGCGAACAAAACGGCTTCATTACGGTTTAAAGCTGTTAAAATTCTGCTTTTGTAGATTTCTTGGACATCAAGTTAACACCCTAAAGAGACAGGAAAATTTATGTTGGAATCATTAAATGCAAGCTAAAGATTGTTTCATAAACAGAGACGCCGGGCCGATAAAACCGAAATCAGGTAGACGCCTCATTTATCGTGTTTTTGTGATTAATTGTATTGTCTGTTATTCTTCGAAACACCGACACGATAAACTCAATGTCTGGATTCGCGTCACATACAGCTTTAAATCAATCCGACAAGTGTTTCGTATTGTGTTGTATACATTTAGACGGGGAAGTTAGTCCACCAATGGGCGTCTCCGCTGTAGGTGGGAAATCTAGCCAGTGCAGTACCACAACCATCTAGGTTGAAACGGGCAGAGATCAGGATTGAACCCCCTTTTCATTGCGATTACCTCCGCGCCAACTCTCTAGGATAGCTGTAACACTGGTGATCAGGCCAACAGCTAGAATGCTAAGGGACGCTGCACTGGTGAGCGTAGCAGAAGCTAAAAGAGCGAGCTCCGGGCTTCCAGCGTCCTTGCAACAACCGCGCTCGTGCAGTGCAAGCACAGTTTAGGACCACATGCTAACGCTTGTAGCGTCGGCAGCGTCTGGAATTAAGTTGTACCGCTCATTCACACTGGAAGCGGATCCGCGTTCGCAAAGCGGATCCGCGTTCGCAAAGCGGTTGCGAACGCGGTTGTATAAAGGTACAGTGCAATTGCACGCGCACACGGTGACATCAAGTGCGCGTGCAATTGTATTGGATCTTTATACAACCGCGTTCGCAACCGCTCTGCGAACGCGGATCCGCTTCCAGTGTGAATGAGCGGGTAGTGCTGTATTTTATTGTCACATGCCTCTTTTTTTTTTTTTTCATTCGCTTTGAGTTTAGGCGCTATCGGACACTGGCCTGGGGGGCTGCGCACTTACCCCGTAGTGATCTTGCCGGGTATCTTCTTGACGAAATGAAACCGGGGGCCGCCGAAGCCTCTTCGCTTGAAAACACCGAGAACTACGTCTGTTAATCGCATCGTTTATGCGATCTTGTTGCCCTCAACGTGATAGTTTGAGTTGAGGTGAACACGCGGATAACCCAGCGTGTGTTCGTGAGGCACCCAGTACCGTGCTGGATGGGCGGATGCACTGCGCACAGTCCAGGCACAGTGACACTGTGGGTGGATGTGACAATTAGTAGCTTCGTGTATCGGGCAGTAGCTTGCGCCACCTGGCGTGTGATATATAAACTACATTTAGATCCTATCGCGCAGCTGTCACGGGAAACGTTGGTTACGGGCTCGTCCCTCCGGTCTCTATCTGTATGATCTCTATGGGTTTCGCGACGGCGTGAGCGTAAACGAATTCAGTTTCCCCGCTAAATTCAGCGGAATAATTGACGTCACGTGACCTATTCCCCAATTCAGTTTCCCCGCTAAATTTGGTATGAAAATTGGTGTCACTTGACCTGACGACACGGGACCTTCAGTCGAATTCAGGTTCCTCGCTAAATTTAGCGGAAAAATTGACGTCGCGTGACCTATCTAGGAATTAAGTTTTCTCGCTAAATTTAGCGGAAAAATTGGCGTCACGTGACCTAGGCACCAATTCAGTTTCCCCGCTAAATTTGGCGGAAAAAATTGATGTCACGTGACCTGACGTTTGGGACCTGCAGATAAATTCAGGTTCCCCACTAAATTTAATGGGGAAAAATGGACGTCACATGACCTATGCACCAACCCAGTTTCCCTGCTAAAATTGGCAGGGAAATTGGTGTCACGTGACCTGGCGTCACGGGCACTACAAATAAATACAGGTTCCCCGCTAAATTAGGCTGAACAAGTTAGCGATGGCGGGAGCGTAAACGAAAATAATAGGAAGTTTTCGTCTATCTCTTTCGCTGCCACCAACGTTGGCTGTCACGCAACATTCTCCGCAACCCGCTACGAGATATGGGACTCT